CGTACGGCATCCTTGTACTTTAGCTGAAGTGAGCACTTCTTTGCGCAGCTGGGTTCAATTTTTGGTTGGGAGAGAACTGTTCCATGAATTATCACAGGAACAAATGCTAAGGTAGGGGTTGAGATATATGGTCCCCAATTTTTTGCTCGCCAACTTGGTTTTTACCAAATGTGGCATGTTCCTCCTTGTTATTCAAAAAACTTGATAGAGCGTTTCCATACTATCAATAAAATCGAGATGCAAGCTATTGACACCCGTAATAACTTTTTGGCCAAAGGCTTCTCTTTAGCCCCTTTCAATTCTACTGCAGTCACACACCCCTTTTTTTACCAACTCTAGCCGTCTGTGAAATGCAAGTTGTTCACAACTGATGCCAACTGTGCTTTCCATCTGCTAGATAAACCAGATACATCTTCTACTTCTCCTATTTTAGCTACCCCTGTGTCCATCAGGAATCCTTCCTCATCTGCTCACGCTAAACATCATATAACCATCTACTTCTCCTCGTGCTAAAGCTATAACAGCCAAAGGCACCTCCAGCCGCAAACGGCCAGCTTCAGCATCTCCCATTTTGCAGGATAATAATGATAATGATGTCGCTCCTCTCATCCTTAGGAGAAAGGTAATTGAATTTTTTTATTCACGGAATATCCTTCTCTACGTACTAATGGTTTACCTGAATTTTCCAGAAGAATTCAGTCTCCTCTTCGAAGGTTTTGGTCTTGGCAGCTCCAGCTTCATCGCCTCCTACTAAAGCCACTTCATCGAAATTAGTTAATGAAGGGAACATACTTAAAGAGAGACCCCTAGTCCCAGAGCCTTCATCGTGGTCAGCTGAAGGGCTACCATCTTCCCAGGGTGTTGACCCCCCAAATGTTGAACCAGAAGGTAATACATATTTTAATATTTTACATCTGCTCGTGCTACTGGTTTTTGATTCATTGCCTCTTGAATTATGCAGAGGCTCCCATAGATCTGCCCGTTGTGGCAGAGTCTTCTCGCCTAGATAAGGGAAAATCTCTACAAGTGGTGGAACTAACTGATGATGTGCCTGAAACTCCCAAGGTTACTGATGAGGTAACCATTTTACTTTACTTTTATTTCCACTTTGTTCATTGCAATGAGAATACTAAATGTTGACATTTTTCCTTGTAGGATGCTGATGTCATTGTGCGTTCCATCCGGGACTTGTTCACCTCTTGGGAACAAGTAAGGACATCCTGGCCTTCTTCGACCAGTCATCCTTCCATTTCATCTCCTGCCTTCTCAGAGGAAAATATGCTAATGCCATTTTGCTAGTGCTGCCAAACAAAAGGATAAATTTGAGCTCTTGAGTACAAAATTGGTACAAGTACTGACACTTCCATCGCTCAACATTTCTTCTGATTTTAAAGCGATGTTGAAGGCCATCCATTATGAGATCCTCTCCTTACTAGCCAAAAATGTTGAATTGAAGGCTAGGAGTACTCAGTATCTTTGTGCTGCCTCTAAAAGAGAATCTTTACTTCAAGAGATTGACAAAGTCAAGGCTGAACTGAATGAAATCTCCTCTGAAGTTATGGTTGAAGATTTTTTGATGATGAGTTTGGCTGAAGAGATGAAGGAACTTCAAGCAAAAATAGATGACTGCAAGGCTAAGATGGCTGCCAAAAAATGCAATGCTTCCCGATGAGTAGAGCGAACCAAGTCTTTGTTTGAACATTACAAAAAGCTGGAGATTGATGACAATGTTGTGGCTAAAGTATCTACCAACTTCTACATAGAACGAGGATTGGTTAAGGCTTAGGGAATAGATACGCTCAGCTTGGGGCGAATTGTAATTAAGATATCTAATGTCTTTACTTTCCTTTTGTAATTTCGCACTGGCTGTCATTGCTAATTTTGAATGTAACGGCAACCATTGTCGTTAATGACCAACTATTTTATTTACTTGCGTATTAATTGACGTTTTCCTTAATCGTCAACCCCCTAAGCATTTAATTGCCTTATACTAAAACTCATGTACATTCTTCCTTGGTATTCCCATCTCTTTTTCCAAGATTTTGGGCCATTAATTTAAGTTACCATGCACGCATGTAACCGTTCATATTCTGTCCTTTCATCTTCACGCTTCTATAAATGTGTGTATATTTCGCACTTATCATCTT